CTTTTTATTGCAAAATTAATAGGATATAGTGATGCACATCATGACTGAAAATACTGTGTGCAGTTAAAAAAAAAGTCAAGGAAACTCTTAAGAAACAGAACGAGTTTTGTAGGTTTCCATTATCAACCATTCAATTGTTCGACAAACATTACAAACCATGACAGTAATAACAAGTATTTCACGTATATCTATCTTGCAACAAAGAAATCGTGTTTGATTTTAGGTTTGCAAAAATGTTTACAAAGAGCTCTCAGATTGTCCAATGAAACAAGGCATAATGTTTTGCATGCTTTCATTTGCAGATGATACTTCACGACGGACGATCAGCTGCAAGGGTCAACAATCAGAAAAACAGGAGTTCAGGGCGAGTACGATAAACAATGTTCTTAATTTAAAATTAATTCGATCTAAATATTTTTGACTACAAATTTACACTGCGTGCATGACGAATTTTTCAGTCATGACCGCAAACATCATTCGCGAATATAGCCTACTTTATCTGTTCCAAAAATCTCACAACATGCAGAACTTTGCGCAAACGTGCGCATTACTATAGTACATTTATGTGAACTCCGAGTAGAATATCGTCAGCTATGCGTTTATTGACAAGATGAAGACATTTGTACTCTTGAAATTTTCAATCCAAAACATTTATTTTGATACCATCTTACATTCATTCACCCAGAAAATAAAGCCAACAAAAACATAAGCGCTTTTGCATACATACCTTTTCATTAATGAAATTCTGTCCACCACTGTCAGTCACCGGTTCATCTCCAGAAAGCAGCAATACAAATAATATTTAAACTATTTGCCTGCAGAACCAAAATTCTGCTAAAAGCACTCAAAATGGTTCTCCAGAAAGTAACTCAGGAACGAACAGAAAATACTCTCGTGTAAAACTGCAAATAGTCTTTACGAATACTTCAATGGCATAGAATATATTCTGGTATACAGGTCTATGCCAAGTATATAAAACAAGTTAATGTTCATAACGCAACACGCAAATAGCAAACATTTAATCACGGGCGACCTATTTCTTGAAGTCAACTGTCTCTTGACGTCAGTCCGTAACTAGTGATGCACAGCGTATGAGATCGGTACGCGTATTATGAGAATAGGTGGAATAATACAATCGAATATTTGTTGTTTTCAGTCAAAATTGAAATTGTTTAATTGTTTTTGCATTTTCCCCGAGTCATTGGGTATGTTAAGAAACCCTAGACACATCTCACTTGGAGGAAGCTGCATTGTTTTCTTTCAATTTCTGCCCACATTGGAAATTGATAATATAGATGTCAATTTCATTTGAAAATTATTAACATTAGATTCTTAGCTCTCTTCACCGATATTTAGGACCTCCTCGGACATTTAGGTATGCTTTTGCATGTCTCGTCGTTTTTTAAAACAAAGCACTCGCAGAGTTAATATCGAAGTTAATATCTTTCCTGATTCGTTGGTATCTTTCCTGATTGGTGATTGAAGAGACGTTTTGGAACAGGAGGACTCAATAGATTTTGAGTTATTGACCTAAAATATTTTTCTACGAACAACAACAAATGTAAAACATTCTAAATAATTGATTATTCTGTAAAATTGATTATTTGACTATAATTTCGTTTGCAGACGTCACTCTTTAATTTATTTGGTATAGTCATTGTATACAGTTCATGAAATTCATTTTTCTCGTGAATGTATATTTCTTTTATAATTTATGGGACACATTTCATTATTCTGCCAATCTCCATAGTCCATTCGACATGTTCTAACTCTGCATAGAATATAGAGTTGGTCTCAAATGAGGAGTAAGCACGCTTAATGTAATGTTTCGATTCTAAGCATTTGGGTCCTAAGTACAGACATTTGGCACCCACGTAGTCAGTCTCTTCACTCCATTACAGATCACATAAGTATACTAGTACCCAGTACATGATTTGTGTAATTTTAGGTAGCGGAATGAATTCCAAATTAATTATTAATTTAATAGAAATAGCTATATATTTATATCATTTAATAATATATTACCGAGGTACCGGGACGCAGTGCCGGCGCGTTCCGCCAGAAATCAAGCCCTGGTAGTACTCATAAGACACTTCACGTCGGTGGCAAAACGTTAGTTTCCATTTTGCCCGCCAGAGTACTATGCATGCAACATGCGTTATAATGTGCTAACATATGTCCTTCCCGTGTGTCCATATCCGTGGATATCGTGGTGGTGACAAACATCGTTTAAATGTATTTTGCTTGTGAATCATAATCATTCATCACTATTCCTTCTGCATTCTAGTACCATCCCTAACAATGTGTTGTTAAAGTGTACAATGCAGATTTATGGCTTTTCGAAGAAATAGTGAAACAATTGCCGCAACAATCCCGAGACGAAATCTCTCGACCATTAACGCCACCGAACTCGCAATCTTAGCTCAACCGACTGGTATAAGTAGATTGGTTGTTCATGTTCGTAAGTTACATCCACTAGCACACGTCCTGGAGGGGACTCGGTCTCCCGGTGACAGGGACAAGGCGCGCTGCGCGCAGTGGCGAGCGAGGCCGCGTCGCGCAGCACCGAGCAACGCCGAGCCACGTCGCCTCGCGCCGCGCCGTTTTGGGGCCCACACTCCGCGTGCCGTGTTCGGGCACGGCGCGCGCGCGCCAGCGCCTCCGCCACGCCCACCACACGACGTCGCCGCAAGCCTCCACACC